CATAGTAAATAGAACAACCTGGTAGATAGGAACAGGGCAGTTAAATTTTATTTATAAATACTAGCTTAATGAATCTTGATAAGCAAGTACTAATACCACACTACTTCGTATCAATATTAGTAGTTTACCTAATAATAACATTATCACTTTACCTCACCCACGCATTTCAAATTCCATAGTTTTAAATAATGCAAATCCACGTATTCCTACAAATCATTTAGTAATATACATAGTTGGTTATACATACGATTACATAGCTACAACAAACATTCAATTTAGAGAAAGAAATACATATGACTCGAAATTACTACAGAATGCACAATAAATAAATAGTTCTTTCATTAGGAAATACATATATAAAATTAAAACAGAACTACCTAGTGCTAGTTGCTTTGATTTAGTTTGAAGTGCCTTCGTAACAAAAGTCGCACTCGATGGCCGCGGGGCGCGCGAGAACAGTGTCGCTGACCCCGTGGCCGAGCGGCCGGTAGGCGGATCGCTCGCAAGGTACGGGAGGGACATCAAAACTAACTGGCACACTTTGCTGTACCATATCACTATATCCACCATCTACCAAATCGAGTCCAAGCCTACCGTTTTAAAATATAGCACATCTAGGTCAAAATTCCACAATTAAATCTACAAGAATAGTTATGAAATTAATATTGACAGTATGATTTTCTTCATTAAACAATTATTATTAAAATATAATAATAAATAATAAGTATATTTTGCAAGAACAATTCACCAATTAATCAATAATACTTACTACATATTACACGTTCAAATCATTCCTCTAATTTTACATTAAGTCTCGTTAACAGATACAATTCAACTTAAACTAAAGAGAACTGATACCTGCAACACTTCGTCAAAATTATTTGTGAATTTATCCTCCACAATATTAAAACACTGTAATTATATCAAATATTTACAAATATGTCAAACAGTATTTGATAATTACGAAAATTCGGTACTTTAGCAGTTTATAAATAAACATTATAACAGCCTTGTATGTAGGTCACGTATTTAATATTTCATTCTGCTTCAAGCATATTTTTAACAAAGTACTCCACAATTTTCCAAGTAATTCAATAGATTTCATAGAGAGAGAGAGAGAGAGAGAGAGAGACGGAGAGAGAATCGAGATCAAATATCCAAAAAAATGAAAACATTTTTAAACAATGAAAATATAACCAAATAACTACCTCCTCATCGCCTCAGTACTAAATTATCTTTATCTATTTTTTTTTTGTTTTTATAATAAAATCGTAAGTGTAGAAATTCATGTCTGTCGGTGAATTACGTCATCATGAGAAAATGGATATCAATACCAATAAAATTTTAAAACAAGTTCTAGCCCATGTTAAAAGCTAGTATACCTACGGTTTATCGAAATCAGTTGAGTGAATTTTGAGATAACAGCTTGTATCTACTAATTAGGTCTAAAACTATGTCTACAAATTAGGCTTGACATATGTCAAGACTGATTATAAACGTTAAAAGTTATATAGAGACTTAGTCTGTGATCGCAAGATGCCTACACCTACTGCCCTTACTTGTGTGATTTTCCTAAACACATTCACACATACACGTTCACTAGTTCCTAAAGAAAGGCTGTGGTGATTTCCTATTACAGGCATCAGTTACGATAACAACGGTGATAATTACACAATGTTTATTGTTCTCGCCAGTGGTGGATTTATGCATTTCCTGCTAGTAGGCTTTTTAAATTCTTCAGCCCCCTATTGACTTCTACGATTTGCTACTAAAGTTCACAATCTTGTTAATTACATTTTTTGCCAATGAAATTGTAACTTTTGGAACCACATTTGTCACCCCTAAAATTTTCCGCCTTGGTCTCCAACCTACGCAATTTGCTGGTAAATCCACCACTGGTTTTCGCTGCTTTACAAAGCGATTTAGTAAGTATCTTTTACCATTACGTCTCAAATGGCAATTTTTTATTTGTTGAAGAAAAGTGCATTAACCCATTTAATGATTAGGAAGTAATGGCGTACGTACGTAAGTATGTAATACCCTTAAATATTTATGTTCTTGATAATTAGCAATCCCTAGTGAACTGTTTGTGCAGCGATTGCTACTGCAAGAAAGAAATTTCACTTACTTGTAACATCAAACTGTCACTGTCAATATTTTTATTGTTTACTATTATTGTATTTAGTTTGAACTAAAATCTAAGAATAAATATTATATTTTTGATAAAAATTGATAAACAGTTTTTAATATAGTTATATCAAAACATAAAGAATAAAGATTGTTGGTATTACTCTGTCTTAAATTAGAATATATTCTACCCAAACTTCATTCAAATCTATCCAGCCGTTTAAGCGTGATTGAGTGACAAACATACAAACATTTTCACAAACTTCCACATCCTTAATATTAGTAGGATGTTATTTATAGCATTTAAACGCATTTTTTTTTATTTATAAATATCCAAAAAAAAATTTCATCAGTGTGAGAGTTTTATTTATCCCTTTATAGATACATCTCTTCATCAATTAAGGAAAATTATTAATGTGAAAGATGAATAGAACGTTTCATTTTATTTATCTGATCACAGAATTATAAAACATTACATAGAAGTTATTTAATAGTTTTCATTCTATAAGTGTAGCATAGCCAATGTACATTTTATTTTTTATAGAACTCAGAATGGCAAACATGCTGACGGCCCACTTGATGGAAAATGGTACCAGTAAGTATCATGGACATAACACGAGTATACTGTGTTGCCCATGATACCCCTCATGCATTACCATTCTTGATGACTAAGGTGTTATGCCTCTGTACACTGTAATCTCACTGCCATATCCCACTCTTCAAACTCAAACAGCTATGCAAACACAACTACTTCATGGTAGAAACACGAATGGGACAGAGGTACCCAAGCAAACTACTATTGTACAAAGCCTCCTCTGATAGAATAAACTTGTTCCTTAAAATATATTATAAATATATTTTATTATATTTTAGTATCCCAAAGGAACAGTTTCAGTGTGTTATCAAATAAATCATTTGTGAATCAATTTTATATTTTTCCTTCAAGGTGTATCAATAAGTCCCAGATATCAACAGAAAAGCAACCGACTGTTTATTAGTAAGGTATATATTATATAATATATTTTATCCCGCAACTTTGTCTGAGTGGCAGTGTGTATTGTCAGACTGAGACAAAAAGTCATCTATTTGTTTTTCATTCCTAAATATCCCGTCCTTAGTCGTCCCGGCATAGAATAGGCCACCCCTTCCTTTCCCGTGGGTGACGTAAGAGGTGACTATGCGACGGTGAGGAATGGGCAGCAGCGTGCCTCTTAAAATATCTCCAAAGCCTAACTGCGGTCGCCAATCTGCCTGCCAAGCGTGGCATCTACTGCTACTACTACATCGACTACTGGCATAACCCCCTAGGGAGAGGCTTATGTTCAGCAGTGGACAGTTAAAAGCTGATATGATGGTGATGTATACCAAATTGCATGAAGATAGGTTGGGCCACCAAAAATAATAAGTGACTAACAAGTAAGTAGATGTTCACAATCCACTTCTCTATTTTTTGTTTGTTATTGGCGAAAATTTTCAGTTCCAGTCCCTCTCTGAACAAAATATAAAATATATTACATTGACAATGTGATAAACGTTATTTAATTTTTTTAAAACGAAACTGCTTTACGTGACGTGTCGTCTAAATAAAACGAACTTACTATAAACTAGTATTGTAAAACATCTATTTATAGTATTGTTTATATTACGCGCTTTAGCAGTAGCTACAACGAAACATTGCGTTGTTGAAGTATTCGACGATTATAAATGTAAGTGGAGGATACTATGTATATATAATCTATGGCCTGTTCAGAAATAACGATTTTAAGATAATAAAAATACGTATATAAAATCATTTAACATTTCGAATACATATTAATAGAATAAAACCCTAATGCCACCCACACTTTTCAAGAAAATCAATACTCCCTTATATGTTTGTCGACGAAAGCCTAATCGATATCAAGGTGACTGGCGTTGTAAACGTGGCATGACACTCCACAATAAAGTCTATTATTAACGTATGCCATCATGCAATAGTTCGTCACACACTAGTGTAGATCTACACAATCGCGATTTGTGTGTAGGAACTAGAATGGTGAAGGCTAAATTAATATATGAATGCGTGATGTTTGGTTGCTGTTGATGGTTATATAATTATATTACAGAAGTCCAGTCAAGTTTCATCTTCAAATATATACTATATTAATATCATTATACACTAGTTACCGACGATTAATACGTCTTTTTAAGCCACACAAATACTTAATACGGTTTAAATATTTTAATAGCTTTTTTACGACAATAGCGAAATGTTAACAAATCTACAACCATGGTTGTCGAATATCAATGAGTAAATTATGTTTTTATAAAACAAATGTTTATTTTTTTAGATTATATATATTTGTATATTTAAAAAAAATAAACATTTATGATAATTTCAACTCAAATGATTTATTCGTCTCCGGACTTATTTTTTATTTACTATTTCTACCAGATTATTTTCCTACAAATTAGTTATATCAATTTCAAGGTCAAAACTAATTGAAGTACTACTTACATAGTACAACATAAGTACCCTTGAATCTTCAAGCATTTTTGAGAAAATATGAATACCGACGACTTCTACAACGCAATGGTATGAACATTCTTTGTGTAAATTAGCTTTAAGATTCGATACTCCACACAGAAAAATATATTCTTTAAATTCGACCGACAAATTTAGGAAACGAAAATTTCTAAAAGTGACTCGAGTCTGAGTATCAGACCGGTAGATATTAATTGTTTGTTTTCTCATAACAAAGACTATCCTAGTTTGGCGAGCAGTTGCTGCACTGTTATATTTATAATCATAGAGATTTTGAAACCATGAAATGAAGGGAGAACAACGATATAAGTCCTTATAGTTTACACAAAAAGGCGCATATTTAACTCACCATCTTGCATTCGGGGGCTCGATGTGTTTCTACAAGATTCTCCCGCGCGCTCACCTGCAAACACGTGATCAAGGAGCTCAATGTAAAACGAAATTATATGAACCCCTCTATCACTCTCCTAATCAACTGATTAGGCAGCTATTATTCATATATTTATCATTAAAAGATTCTTGTATTAAAATTGAAATGAAATCACAGACTATTTCAATACTGTTTTTAATTTATAGTTTAGGCTCTATACCTGCCCTACATATATACTACATTATTATAATACTGAGCGCCTACAAAAGTAACATCATAAACGCACGAAGAACTAAGCAAGTCGATTCGATAAGGCTCGGAACTTCTGACAGAGAGAGCACTAATCTGTTTGTAGGTCGATAAGTCACAAACGTGCATTTGCGGGCAGACTATTTATATACGCCCGCCATCTTGTCGTCGAATGACGAAATCACTGTTTCACAGTCATCCCTCTCAAGTTCCGAAACTACTTATTGATCGAAACAATAAAATTTAACAGAATACCGACTCATCATACACAATATATGGATAAATTATTCATTGTTTTAACACGTGTACCTACCTAATGTAAAATAGGCAAATACGAGTACGTCAGGTACTTAAGACTAATATTATTGGTCCGAAATTAGCAGTAAACACTTATTTGAAATTTAAATACCTGTTCAAGAAGCAAAAACAAGATTCTTCACTGTTTATTAATGCTACTTAATTAATTGAAATCAGACTAGGTTAGACATCGTAATTAGTAAAACAAATATTTTGAATAACAAATAAGATTAAATATCACAACACATAAAACTGTTGTCCTGACTCGCTGTGAATGACGCGTCAATCAATAGAACAAGAGCGGGGTGAAGCTCGCAATCGTGGCCATTGGACGGGGACGAGACATACTCAATAATATAAGTAAAGAAATCACATATGTATTTACTAAATTACATCGCGACCTCACTAAGAACAGATGTTCTCGAAAGCCGACGAGCAGGTGAGTACACAACAGCCAAGACACAACACTGTCAGGAGTCACGTGATCTTCTACATAATATTCCACTCGTCTGTTAGCGACCGTAAACCGATACACAAGCTCGTGTCCATGTTTGTATGAGTTTCACGACCCGATTAATGATTAGCATTGTCGACTTGTCAAGCGCTCGAGCCGAGAAATCGCATTGTGTAGCGCCTTACCTACTACTGTCATTATTTCGTCATTTAGACGTAGTTGTAAGACGTGGTTTTCATTTTATTGGCATATCTTTTAGTGACTGTAGAGTTTGCAAACCCTTAGAATCATTTACCATTAATAGACAATACGGGCCAATAAAATTGAGATTAAACCGACGAACTAGGCACCTACACAAATCATCATCCTTTCAACTTATTCATCGCCCTGCTGAATATGGGTCTACATATAAATTAATGGATAATTAATGTATGGAAGAATATCTGTTTATCGTTTTTATTTTTCCATCAAATGCGCGGCCATTTTATTTTGCACACGTAAGCGCGAGTCTGGTACGCGGTGACGTAGACCAATGATACATAGCAACGTCTCTGCGCTACCGATAATCTGAACAAACCGTTCCAACTGAGCGCAGGAAATATATGAACAAAAGAATCGTTTCGAAAACAACATCGTATTCGCCTTTGATTTCAACAAAGGCATTCGCTTATATGTACAAAGACTGGATGGAACATTATTATGTGGCTCTTTATTATATCTTTTTATTAAGAGGCCGATATTGTTTTTTATTTTTTCTTTTTGCATTACTGATTTATGTTAATGTGGAACCAGTGAGTAATAGGTGAGGTAGTTAGCCCATCGTGATGAATACACTAGAAATTGAGGTCACCCCGAAAGATTAATACCGAAAAGACGGAACAGCGCGGCGGATTTAGCAGATTGGAGAAACTAGTAGATCTCCATGATGTACCCCGGCGTTAAAAAAATTGTATACTAACAATGGAGCAACTAGACTATTACTAGTCATTCCCTTCCACTACTGACTTTGTTTTATACTTGCAAAGTTGGTATTGCTGTTTAATAACTTAGTTAATACTATTGGTCGTTTTTGTAGTGTATATACAGGCTGAAATCGTTAATATTTTTTAGCACAGCGCATTTAGCTGTTGAATTAGTAAGGAATACTAAAAATTTTCGTCGTTTTTATATCATAATCCTAATATGTTGTATAGGTAGCTAATATGTTCTTTAAATTTTTACTCTTACGTACTGCTAATAATTTGGATTTCAGCCTGTATATAAAAAGAGATGTTAAAAAAAAACCATGTAACTGACCTTGGCGCCTAGGAAGCGCGCTTCCAGCAGCTCCTGCTTGCGGGGATCCAGCGCCGCTTGGAAGTGCTCCATTTTGACGCCGGCACCTACGCGTAAAAATTAAAACTAAAATATATATTTATACAGTTTCCATTTTATTACCTTTCACAGCTTGTTTAGATGGATATTATCTTAATTAAAATTTTATTCTTGTCATCGTGTCACGTTTATTTTTATATCAATAACAGTAATCAGTAATAATAAGATTCAAAACTTAAGGCCAAAACTTTTGTGGAAAAATTTAGTATTCCTGCAAAATTTTTATCTTAAAAAAAAAACAAATACTAGTTCATAAACACTTTTTAAGAATCTTTTTTTATGAGACACACTATATAAAAAATCTAAACAGAAAACTATCCCAAAGTAATGAATTAATGGCAGATAATGTACTAATGGTTTGGCCATATAGCTCAAAGAACCGACAATCGGATGGAAAAGAAATGTTTTTAAGAGATAACTTCGTACAGGCAAACGCAGTTAAGGAGGGACCCCTCTAGATAGAGTGACGACCTCAAATGTATTGCAGGGAATCAGTGGATGAAGGTAGCTCGAGACCATTCCTTATGACAATTTATAGGGGAGGCCTATGTTCAGCAGTGGACAGAAAATAGCTGATATGAAAACAATATCGTTTTGAAGGGTATCGTATCGTAATAAACAATTCGGTTTGAAGGGTGGGATATGGCGTGAATTTACAGGGTACAGAGGAATAACATCTGAGTCCTCAGGAATGGCAACGCATGGGGGGTACAAACATCATGGGCGAAATAGTATACTCTGTTATGTCCATGGTACTGCTCATGTCTATAGGCGACGGTTACCACTTTCCATCAGGTGGGCCGTCAGCTTGTTTGCCATTCTAAGTTGTATAAAAAAAAAAAAAAAAAATATGGTCGGGAATTCTTTTAATTTTCTGATTTGAGTCCCTATTTAAAAAAAAATACACAATATATACAGATGGGCAAAGCACCGGGTTTAAACCCGGTGCTTTGGTAAAAACCCAATAAACACCCATAAACTCCCATAATCACCCAAAAAAATAGGTTTTTACGTATTTTTTTGAAAATATGTAAGTAATACCAATAAATTATTTTTATAAATTGTATTGATCAATTCTACAATATTAAATAAAACGTTAACTAATAATATTTCAGGAAATTTTAAAAATCTATATATAATAAAATGAAAGTAATTAATTTTCAGTGTTTTCATGTTGCAGTTGATCAACATGTTGGCCTTTTGCTTCCCGTAGATACTTTAAAATTTCTTCATAACACCTCGTTCGCACACATGGCCGTATATATTTAAATTCTTGAGCCACTAACAGTCCGAAATACTCATTTCTTTTATCCTCTTCTCCATAAATTAAGCATTTAGAACAGTTTGTTTCTTCTTTCAGTAAATTTTCTTTTACTTTATCCTCGTTTTTTTTCTTTGTTGCGACGACGCTGGGTAAATCATCTGGACACTGGGTCTCACTATCACCAAATATATTTGGAGATCGGCTTCGGCTACGGCTTGGCAGACATTTTTTCTTTCTACAATTTTAAATTAAATTTATTAGAATAAATGCTTCGAACACACGCGATCTAAGTACCTTTTGTGTTTATTATACCTTACCTACCTAGGTATAAAAAGAGTACTTACGTAGATTTTCTTTTATTAACTGTTTTATACGAAGATCTTGATCTCTCAAATTAGCATCCATTTTACTTCCAGTGATTATCAACTAAATTAATAATCCACAAAGTATTAAATAACGTTTTTATGAAATATTTAGCACAAAAACAATACCCTTTAAATATCGATCGTCAGTAACTGTGGCTGACTTACCTATATTCTAGCAAGCAGGACTGCCAGATGTGAAGGGGAAATCCCCAATAAATTGTTGCATGTGACTGATGATGTGAGCATGTTCGTTTCATAATAAAAATGTTGCCAGGTAACCAAAAAGTCGTATGTTTTTGTGCGAATTACGATCATAATCTTTACGATCGTACATTAAAAAATAGACAAATAATAGTATGAGTACGATTTAAATCGTATATCTGTCAACCCTGCTAGCAAGACAGCGACAAAATCACGTTGCATAACAATGTAGCCCAAGCTTATATCTTATGAAATATACGGAAGAGATACGGACTTAGAAAAAACAGAAATGTTGTTCTTTGTGGAAGTCATTGATGAAATTCTATGTATTTTAGCCCGCAAACTTTCTTCAAACAAAAACAGCGCCATCTAGTATCGAGTTCTGTAATTATCTCTTTGTTTATGGATTTGAAGTAAGACCGCCACGCATGCAATACATTATGACTGGGGATTCCCCTATTCGTCGACGCTGAATATGAGGCGACGACAATCACTGTCAAACGTGTTCACTATTACTCTGACTCTGGTAACGTGACTTCCTGGTAACGTGTTAGGTAGGAAAAGCAGTAAAAAAGTGCATATTAAGGGAGCAGATTTGAAATAATATTTATACTTAACAAGAAATAATTAAAGGTAAGTGGATTTTTGAATGATACAATTATATCATGATCACTTAACAATTTTAACTTAAAATTAGATGTATTATTACAAGCTTTTATTTAGCTTGCGTTATGTAAATAAAAGTATGTAGGTATGTTCGTATGTTGATGCAATTATCCTCAATCCTCAACCGACTGGGATAAAATTTTCCATACACGTTTATTTTGGATGATAGTGCATAGTTAGCTGAGAGTCGTCATTGGATAATAATGGTCGATAGCCTAAGATGTGTACTAGATATTTATTTTTAACATAATATGCGTAAGTACCTAATCGAATTAAAGAAGTTGCTGAGAAAAATACAGAACAATACGATAATAAACTAGCGTCTGCGTTTAATCCTCCGAGGAGATGTAATTTTACAAAGGTTTTTTGTATTTATTTTATTATTTTTTAATAAATTTATTGTAAATAACAAGAAATAATCATTGTAAAAAAATAGGCACTCTATTGTTGAATTTTCGTCAGACCAACTAATCATCGTTCATTTTTTTAGGTTCAATGGGGAGACCTAAAGATTTACGCATATGGGAGCACTACCGTACTTTACCAAACAAGTCTGTTTCTTGCAAGCTTTGTAATAAGGTCTACAAATTCAGTAATGCTGCCAAAATGCTTCAATATCTTATCACTTGTCCAAAATCTCCAGAAACATTAAAAGACTCTATGAAACTTATAAAAGATAGCTCGTCCAAAACCAAAATGTCTGGACTGTCAGAGATAGAGACAAATGATTCTTTTATAAGCCCCTCGTCGTCTGCTAACACTACAATAAATGCTGAGTTTCAAGACACCGATGATCATATAAAAACAGAATTAGCGAGAGCTATATTTGTAACAGGGACGCCATTATCGATGGTGCAACATCCTTTATGGATACAATTTTTCGAAAAATTGCAACCAAAATTTAAAATACCTTCACGTAAAGCTTTAGCGACAAAATACTTAGATAAAATATATAGAGAAATGCGTTTTGAGTTAAATGAGGAACTAAATGCTTGTAGTTACTTACACCTTCAGTGCGATGGCTGGTCTAATTTAAGAAATGAAGGAATAATAAACTTTCTTATATCAAAACCTCAACCTGCATACGTTAAAAGTTTGAATACAGAAAGTAATCCTCACACTAGTGAATACCTTAGCCAAGAAGTTGAAAAAGTAATGAAAGTGTATGGAGCAAATAAGTTTCTTGTACTTATTGGCGATAACGCTAGAAATATACAAAAGGCATTCGAATTAACAAAACTCAAATATCCACATGTTGTTCCTCTCGGTTGCTGTGCACATATCCTTAACTTGTTGTGCCAAGATATTGTAAAGATACAAGAAGTAACTGTGTTTATTATGCAAGCCATAAATATAATAAAAACTGTTAAAAGGAGTCAACGATTAAGTTCCTTGTTGATAAAATCAAGGCAGGGTGAAGATTCTACACAAACACTAAAATTGCCTTGTGCTACAAGATGGGGAAGTCATGTTACTTCGTTAAAAAGTTTGAAAGCAAATAAGATAGCTTTGCAAATATTAACAGTTAGAGAAGATGTGGTAATTTCAAGAGATATTAAAGATTTAATTCTAAGTGATGATTTCTGGACGAAGACAGGGTAATGTATAAGTATTTTGGAACCAGTCACTGAAAGCATATTTTACTTAGAGAGCGACCAGAATCGTTTGCATCGCACATACATTACATTTAGAGATGTACAAGCTAAGATACGTTTTGCATTAAATGAGATTTCGACATTGAGCGAAGAAAGCAAACAGCAGATTCTAACATCAGTATCTTCAAGATGCAATATGGCAATGAGGCCAATACATTTTGCAGCATATATTCTAGACCCCAGGACTCTAGGAGTCGAACTTACTCAAGAGGAAGAACTTAAGGGTATGGAGTTTATCTACAATTTAAGCCAACACTTAAGTTTGTCAAATGTAATGGCAGATTTGGCGTGTTATAAAGCTAAAGAAAACTTTTGGGCCAGAGGATTTGTATGGAGCTCATTAGATAGCATTGAGCCCCTAATATGGTGGAAAGGTATTTGTGGTTCCACTGAGTTAAGCAAAGTAGCGATTCGTATTCTATCAGCTCCCTGTACTTCGGCAGCCACTGAGCGTTCCTTTAGTATCCAAGGCTACATACATAATAACAAAAGAAATCGACTTACAACTGAAAGAACTGAAAAAATTTCATTCATTTGTTATAACTGGAATCTTAAACATAAAGCTGAATGCGAGGACATTCAGTTTAATGAAGAAAATACCTTAGAAGCTTTCATTGAGCAAGTAAATGAACATAACAGTTTAGACGAAATAGAGCCTATCGAACCTATACAATTCATCGCTTGTAATAACTCTGAATCTGACAGTGATTGACTGTAGTTTTACATTTTACTTTCATCTCTTTCTTAATAAACTCAAAATCAAATTAAAAGTTTTTTATTCTGTAGGCTGCATAATAATATTGTCTATGTCCAGTATAGTGGACGTCTTGCGGCTGAGATGACGATGATGAAGTACAAAATCATAAACACCCAAAAATTTGGGTGTTTATGGGGTTTAAACCCAATAAACCCAAAACACCCGGTTTTTACCCACCAGACTTTAAACCCACCCAGGTGGATTGCCCATCTCTAACAATATATGATTTACACAAAATGTACAACAGGTACATGTTAAAATCAACCTATCAAGAAAAAAATAACGGAGAGAGACCTTGATCTTCTAATAAATTATATTATTAACATGAATCCGAAGACACCATTAGTCATCGCCATGGTAGTTATGACATATTGCATCATTATAATAATATGCGCAGTAATTTCCCAACTATTACATATAAAAATAAGAGGTACTGTTTTATATCACCTGGATTGGCAAACAGTGACCGGTTCACCGGATAGACAGTGGTAACCGTCCCCTATGAATATGGACAACACAATAAATATTGACTATACAGTGACGCACATGTTATCATCCATGCTTTGTCATATCTGGGAACGTTTGTCTGTTAGGATAGTACCTACTAATGTCAAGCAACTTGCAAAGGAGGTCTTCAATTCGTCTGAATTCATTTGTAAATTATATTACTCAATTACGTCTGCGCTTCTGGTATGTTTTTCCCAATTCTTTTTGCAATAATTGAAGTTTACTCCCATGGTTGGGCTTATATTGATTACATTTGTCGTTTTGTTGTTAAATTGTAATTTTTCTTTGCAAATCAAAAACCTGCTGGTTGATCTGGAAGACCTATTTGTAGATATACAGTTCCAAATTTTAAATTCAAATATTTTCAATGAGCCAATAAAACATCTAGTTCATTGATGCGCGAGTTTATGATTAAAATTGCTTTTTTGTAGAGCAAAATGTGCTTATTTATAAACTAGCGAAATTATTGTCTAGATCAGCTTATAAGATATTTCAAGTTCTGTATAAAAGATACAGCTAAAGTATAATAATGATGCATTGGGTTTTAATACAATTTTAATTTTTTTAACAAATTATATTTATTTTTTATAATAAACAAAACATCAACACACGTTCTAGGACAATTTTGTATACAAAAGCAACTATTATTTTATTAAGGCAAGGAGCGACATTAAACAGAATCAAATAATTTATTAACTTGACCTCATAATTAATAAAAAAAATGCAGTACTAGTACAATTATTTATAATGTAGGGTACGGTTTCTTAATGCCAACTTTGATATATGAAAGCAACAATTTGATATACTAGTTTTCTGAAGAAGTATGAAATTGAATTATTTCATTATTAATCATATTACAGAAAGAAGTTATTGTAATTATTATTTAAATTTCTAGAAAATTCACATCTCCCCGCTTAAGAAGAGGAGATGGCAAACTAACCCCCGGCAGAAACACAGTCGGCCGGGGTTCAGGACCCCAGGGAGAGAAACCGGCGTACAATGCGGGCAGAATCTAAGAGCACCGCTTTCTGCATCTTTACCGGGAGTGAGCCGCCTCGGAATTGTAATTATTATTATTGTTCACGTACTTGGATTTACACTTGTGTTAGTACTATATTAATTTTGTAACAATTGAAGTCACAAACTCTCATTACGGAATTAAATGCTACTTGTAGCGAAACAAAATCTGAAGTCTACCATGAAATGATATACCGAATTTTCGATCTCCATTTCGTTTTTTTGTTTTTACCGAAATCAACCCAGTAAATGCTTAACATTTTGTTCGCTATAAATCCTATTATAATAGCCCAAAGGAATGATATAGGAACACTTTAATTGATATGTATTATGTTACTTTAACATCAAATTTGTGTTTTATTCGACCCCGAAATTTCGGAAAATAATTCATGGTAGGTTTTCCTCCGTTTGTATACATACGATTACGCATTCTAAAATATTTTTAAGAGACATTAAAAAAAGTGTTCTCAATTCGATATTTTATATTTTGCGATTACGTCTTTAATTTTAAACCAATTTAATGATTATTTTTGTAATGAATAGGGTTGGTCCATTGTTTATTTTGTGACGATAGAAGTTACTGTTAAAAAATTATTGTGAAGCGAAATTTATCTAGACATATTTCGCGTTCTATATTCAAATATTTCATCAATCTTAACGTGTCTATGGAACATCTCATTCAATCATACATACACCACGCTCTTCGTTATAAGTGTGCTTATGTGTATGTGTGTGCCTGTGCGTGCGCTTGGAGTTCAAAAAAGAGTTTTTTTTTAAATAACTACCATATTCTACAAGTATAACAGACTGCTGACAATAGATACTTTAGCAGTTTTGTTGTAAAAGACAAGGGATATTGTGAGGGATTTTTTAATTCGAAGTCAATTATTTATTTTTCAAAAAGAAGATTGACAATATACAAATTAATTAATATTTAAAAAATATACATCTTTTGTATTTCTAAAAAAATATTAATAATGATTTCGATAGGGTTACCAAAAATCGATTGATATTGTAGAGCATCAAGGGGTGAAATTTTAAAGGTCAAATGTATCCGAGACGTGTGTCATTATAGGATTTTTTTTTATTGAGACTTTTACCTATACGAGATAAATAATCTGAATAAGATCTATGAATAATTTAGAGTGGGTACAAAGAATATTCGTTCTATAAGAATTGGCAACGAGGGGGTCGGGGGAGGGTTTTTGGCGCAGTATCTGGAGCAGACAGTCGAGTTGCGAGAAGTTAGGTACGGTTATTTATATATACATATATATCTCTATATACGTATGTATGTTCAATGTACATATCGATCGCCTCCCCGGGCCACTCGCCACTATGATCTCACCTCCATCCTTTGCGACACCCTTCCTCCCTTACTCCTCTTCCTACCGCATCACCCCTGACGCCTGTTACTCTCGTTGTTGAGACTCACCCGCGTGATTAATTTGCTGTTTTTTATTAACTAATTTAATATTTATTTAGAAAATACTTTTGATTATACAAACTGAATTGAAAATGACAATGACAACAAAGAAGCAAAAATATTCAAACTTCGACACGGTTACGAAGGAGATTTCCTAAAGTCGATATATACAACAAAAGGGTGGCTTGGGTTCTAGTCTAGTCAGTCTAGACTAGTATAAATTTAAACCCCTTTGAACACTAGTATATACGAGTACTAATATAAAAATACGTTCATCGTATTAAGATTAATGTAGAACTAAGAAAAAGAGAACTCTATCAATTGTAAAAATAATTATAAAACTCGATTTAGAATTGATATTATGTATTGTGTAACTATAAAAAAAATAGATAAACTAAGAATTTCCTTCATTTTAAAGTCTCTTAAAAATAATATCTTGATGTGGTAAACAGCGTAGGTATGTAATCAGCATAGGTATATGTAGTGAAAATATGTAACCCTATACAAAATTCTAAATAACACCACGTTTACATTGAGTTTCTGTAAAATGGACGGATTGCGATGCTGTTTTTAATAGACGTTCTCGCATTAAATATTGTAGTTACAGGTAGCGAAAATCAGTTAACCCGTTTCTATACAATTAACAATAACTACATTGGTACTTTTAAAATTCTTTACTACTGAACTACAATTCGGTTGTTTCCTTTTAAAATATTTAACCGACTCAAAAAAGGAAGAGGTTCTCAATTTAGTTGTATTTTTTTATGTTTATTATCTCAAAACTTAGTTTTTTCTCTGAAAGGATATATTTTCAATTGGTGCCACAGAAATTTCATTAAAATCGGTTCAATAGTTTGATTTATAAATAAAAAAACTGGGTTTATCTACGATTGAAGACGGTGCTTATTTTTGTGGAACAAAATTTATTGGTTTACGTAAAATTTAATTTACCTCATAGAAACAGTAAAAGCCATTATTATCGTTGTATTTCTATGAAAACATTTACATTTCTGCTATCAACAAGGTCAGTAACGAGAGCTTGCTATTGGAAGTTAACTTTTGTCCTTGCAAAAATATACAGAAAATTTTGGCGACAGATACACGATGTCGATATATGATGCCAATTGTCTATAGTTTGTAACGATTTCACCTCTACTACGAGTTTTAAAATAACGTTATTAGTTTACAGTCTAATTATCATAAAAAAATTTCAAAGAATATCTAAGTCTATAAACTTTGGTTTGTAATCACATATTAATGAAAAAATAACCGAGTGATAAAAAATGTTTGCAGTTACACATTATGCCAAGTTTTAATATTTACTTATTTAAGGCAAACTTACAACATTAACAACGCCTATGATAATTACACAAATAAATATTATATCAGGGAGTAAAGTTTACACAGATACTTAGTGCAAGTGAAGAAAACGCACAAAAAGAAACAACTATTGAATATTATAGCAAATATACCACATTCAGAAAAATTATGTCATAATGAAATTAAGTAACCTTTTTAACAATATATATCACAATATTTAATTGTAAAAACAACCGGATTTACTTACGTGTATATCTGTCGAGAATGCTCGACTAGTTCTACAAATACACGTGTGTCAATCTGGTTATTATTACAATTACAATAGAAAGTGTACTAACGGAACTTAACAATATAAAAATATATTAAATATATATAACAACCACTTTACCTATGTATTAAGTATGTTAATTAAATACGAAAACGATTCGATGACATTGTAAATGAACTTAAAAATTGACACCATTCGATAATGAAAATTACAAACAATTCTAACAACTGAATATGATACGATGTATGATGTTACGATTTTCGTTATGGCAATCAGGATATATACTCTTTTAGCCTATAAAATTTATTAATAGGTAAGGTTAATTTTTCAATATGAAAATTCTAAAAACAGCATATTGTATGTGATGTATCTTTACTGAAACAAAGAGGTTTTATGAAAACAGAAAATTAAATATAATTTATGTCAGCTATTATGTTTAAGACCCTATATTATTATGATATTACGTACGATTCTATACAAATAATTTTCAATAAAAATGACATATGTAAGTAATACACGATTATATCAAAATACATTTAGTGACGAAATAGGTATTATTTCTCTTAGGACAAGGACAGAAGAATTGTTAGATATACATATCGCTCAGTTGTCTGTTTAACAAGTGGCGATTTATTCACGAGATTGTTTTGTAAACACATTAAATTAAATAAAAATATTTGAATTTAGAATATGGTATTGCATCTAATAAATTTTCCTTCGTAACAAGCAGGATTTGCTCTATATAATGGCAATATACATGTACTTATTTAATTAGTCACTCACCAGTTACTACGAAACCAGCTTGCGAGCCTAGTGCAGTATTAACTGATAACTAAATTGTGTACCCGCATTTTTTTAATAAAATTTATTATATTTATATTTATTATATACTATCTTCAAGTGTCATTTTTTAAATCGGTTAAGAGATTTTCAACCTTACCTATTAAAAATAACAATTAAATTGTAAAAGTTATTTTAATTTAAAAACTAAACTACTGAAGTGATTTTGATAAAATTTCTATGAAACCAATTCGTAAATATATCGTTTCAGATGAAAAACGAAATAATTTTTCTAATCGGTTTACAACTGACAGAGTTATGACGTATCAAACATAATCAAAATACAACCGAATTGAAAACCGCTTCTTTTTGAAGTCGGTTAAATAATCAAATATTTCCTGTTTTGTTATTATAGTTTAAATAATTTATAGATGAGTATATCTATTTCTGAAAGTTACATAAAAATTACAACTTGCTCCAATAGTCAATCGCACTTGTGACGACAAATAGTGTTCCACAAAAAAATTAAAATGTTTCAAAAACATCGTCATCATTTATGGCAAAACCAATTATTCTGATATAAATACTAAGCTACCAGAACCGATTTTGATAAAATTTCTAGTGAACCGATCTGTAAGTATATCCTTTCAGATAAAATAATATATTTCTAAAGCGATTTAGAACTGACGGGGTTATGAGGTAACAAACATAAAAAAAATACAACTGAATTGAGAACCCTCCTTCTTATTTAAATTAGTTGAAAAAGCCAACTTCAATTGTGGAAAAATGAGTTATTTTGATCGAAAAACTAAATTATTAAACCGATTTTCATAAAATTTCTATGGAACCAATCTGTAAGTTCGCCGTGTGATTCGAAAGGAATATAATGGTCAAAGGATGGACCAGCACCGTCCCTGTTAAAACATCACAAGTCTCGCTGCAGTTGCCAACCCGTCTGCCAAGCGTGGCAACCACTGGCAAACCCCCAATAGGGAATTATGTTCAGCAGAGGACAGTTAACGGCTGATATTGGAATATGCTCCCAGTCGTCGGAACACATAGGATATGGGTGGGATGTAGGTATAGACTGGGCGGCAGATAGTGAATTGGTTCATGGTTGGAGGTATGATTTAAAGGAAGTTTTAGTAGAGGATCAATGAGTGGATATTGTATCAGAATCAGAAGTATTTGATGCTATGTGATGATTAGAAGCAAAAGCGTATGGTTAAGTTGGATGTAAAGGTTTAATGTGAGTTGAGGTTTAATATTCTTATATTCATCTTTGAGATTTTGGTGGAGAATGAGGTCCAATGACAATGAACTACGGTGGGGATAAGTTTCGAGATGACGTGATGTCATGATGTGATGTCATGATGTGATGTATTGATATGAAGTAGTGATGTGATGTAGCGGGTTGATGTAGTGATGTGACGTAGTGAACTGGTGTAGTGACGTGATGTAGAGATGAATGAATGAATAAATGGTTTATTTTCTCTTCACAAAATGTAGAATAAAGTGACAACTTGAGGTACAATTTGACATGAAGATCAATTTTGTGAGAGACTGGTGCTTGCGGTAGGTTTAGAAAAACCTGTGTTACAAGTCACCAGCGCCCAATCTCCATGGACTGCACAATTACAAGGCAACCAATTAGTGTAATAATACAGAGATAAAATAATGATATATAAAATGCAAGAAAAAAACTTAACATTAAAACTTATTTCTAATATATAACTTAGGCAAAGTTAATTACAAAATACAGACTATGTGTGCGTGTGCGTGTACGAGATGATGTGTGTGAGAGATGTGAAGTCATGATGTGATGTAATGACGTGATCAAGTGATGTGAAGTCGTACGAGAAGGATGAGGGGTGCAAACGACGGGTTAAGGATGGAAGTGCCTATATTGTTTTGTACTATTACAGAATTATAGTAGCTATCATTTTATAACTAGGTATTATAACAATCCCAGGTTACGATTAAATAAGTAGTTATAATTACATTGCACATAAATCGGCAGAAATGTAATTTAAAATAATTAAATTAATGAAATCATTAGAACTTAATTGTTGTTAAAATTTTCCGATAGACAACAACAGAGTTATATAGTTGAGTTGCGTTACAACTACATTGTAATTAGTTACAGTTTGACTACGACTGCACTTATGTCAAAACAAAAACAATTCGATTACCATTAGATTAAATTATGTTACAGTTACACTGAACAGCTAAACCTTGCCCGGGTCATGTTGCCGTTCAATAGGCAAAATAAAAAGAAAAAATTTGGTGGCCCAATCGCCGCCCCTTTTGAGAACCGATAGCTATATTTTATATAATACTAGTACTAGACTTGCTCTTGATTTCATCTCTATAATCATCATAATATAAAGTAATAATATTATTAATTAGGTTTTTTGTTTATAAACATGTATATCGTTTTAAATAAAAACCTTTAAGTTTTACACAAATAGAAGGGTTAAGCTATAATATATAATATACTATAGTATTCAAGATTTGCTCAACCTATTATGATAAAACATACTCTGTAATCTCAAGAAAAACCTCATTAGGAAAATTATCCCACAGAATATTTGGGATAGGACAATGTAAAAATCGCTCATAATGCCTGACTTAGATTGTGCGATTGTTAGGTTAAAACCTAGCACCCTAGAGGGCGTCACGATGAAGTTCATTCTGCCATTTTATTATGATGATGTAATAGACTAATTCTAAAAATATTCTGCATAAAATTTAGGTTTTTTGTTTATTTCTAGCTACCCTAGACAATTTTTGCAAAAAATAAACTAATTACTCAACTTTATTTTCCCAAATGTTTTTTTGATCCTTATAATTTTATTAATAATACTTTAAATTATTTTATGTCGAATAATAAGTATAATCTTTTTTATCATTCTCGATTAAAATTAGTACAAATCAAATCCAACTCAAAAACCTTTTTGAAAAACTTTCTTACGTGACTTCAAATAACAGAAAATTTTCTCAAGTCTGAAAAAGGGCAAAATTTTTTCACTTTTCTTATAGTAAGTACTAATTCACTCGTATTCTGAGTACATTTTATTGACAAATTCGATATTTAGTGACGTAATGAACAAGATTATTCATATTATGTGAGTATCACAAAATTACCGAATACAGTGTTGTTGTAAAAATTTTGCTTGGGAATGAGTGGATTATGATTAGGTATCAAAGATTTTGAGGGTCAAGAGAGTAGTCGAAACACATGTAGGCCACATACACATAAAGGCCAGGTGTTTGGCATGAGGGTATCTTTTCGAATTTTACTTCTCATGCATTGATGTAAATAGGAATCCCTTGAAGTTCTAGTCGCCCAATAGTTTTAAGTGGTATATTTTCCTATTAAAATGACAACTCGATAATGATAGATAGTCCAAAATAAAAATAGTAACAATAAATTAAGTCGTTCTTTAGTAACAATACTTGGATGTAACCACGAACTGCCATAACTGTCAAATGTTAACTGTACAGTGTCGTAAAAGTGCCGCGCGCAATGTTTGTTGTTATGAAAAGGTCTGTGGAGATGTGTGTGATGTGGTAGTCTACGAGCGCTCGAGCGCCGCCGTTGCCGGCGAGCAGAATGCCCGCGGCCGTCATTCACTGCGGACACCCACCCTTGCAGCGGGAGTTGCGGCGGCCGCGCTCGTTCGGTCGATCGCTCATGGCGAACGACTCTTTGAAATGCATCTTCCGACTCCACTCCGCACTCCATCCACATTCAGGTGTAGCATGGGCACGCTAATACACAATCCGCTCACTTATCACCACACGTCACTGTTCCAATAAAATCAAACCACTCTGACGTTTCGTCCGTCTGTCACCCGCCGTGACACGGACTCGTTACGTACTCAGGAACGTGCCACATTTTCGACGAACCGAGAAAACTAGCTAACAAAGTTTCATAGGCGCGAACCGATGCGACATTCGGCCTCGGGCGCGGACTGGCGCGCGATGCGAACGGCCGCCGCCGCCGCCTCCGCCGCGAGACCGGACCTCGCGTCTCGGGGGCGAGGATGCGGGAATCGGCTTCGGCGCAATACCCGTCACGAAAATAATAGGAACAGCGAGTGCACCTCAGAGGCGCGACGCGACGCGGTCGGTGCGAGCGAGACGCGGATAAACACCAGACTGTTTACTTACGGTGTTCGAACGCGGGGCGGCATGGCGGGGCGAGGGGCTATCGCCTGCAATCCGCGCGGTGCAATTACTGCCTGTAGAACCACAAATCCATCCCAACTCGAATAAGAACCAGGTTATATTTGCAATAAAACAAAGACTAGATATTTCAATAACAACATGTACTTATTGAATTGCTACTGACGACGTTTTACAAATTCGTTCATAAATTCACGTTGTAACTGGGTATATTTACTGTGCCAACTGCTAGTTGACACTAACTTGTCGATAGAAGGAATAAAATTTTAGAGATTTAGTAAGTGTCTATATGAATAATTATTTCTCATGCAGATATAAATAATACGAGAGATAATACGAATGCCTAAATATAGTAGTAACAAATACTAATATTTTTTATAGATACCTGACATCTGTTAGAAAAACCTGTTGTGCTGAAAGGTTTCAAAGCCAATTAACAAAATAAATATTATTTATAAAAAATCTATATGTAAAAAATATTTTCATTATAAATCTATTGTACGTAGGTAGTTACGTAGATACATCTAAATGCCTTGTGCACAGTACAAAATTATTTAATGCTAGCGGCTGCGGCTGGTTATTGAAATTTAAGGAGCAATGAGCATGAGCACCTTGACGATCAATCGGCGAGAGCTAATGCTGTGCATCGAGCGGTGGTGACTGCATTCCGACGCCCCTGCCGCGGACCGCGGGCCCTCACCCCCCGTCCTTCCGGAGCTCGTCACGTGACGCGCCGATTAGCCGACGAGTGCGCCACCGCGACCGAAATAGAGCGCGCACATACAATCTCGCATCTCGTTCAACTCGACTAAACTCTCACGCCTCTTCTTTTCAGTTGTCTACCGCTTACAATCTCATCACAGTGTACATACTATCTAGCTACTGCCGCGTCATCGGCTATGGTTTGCGATTTGCACCCGTAATGAGTGTCGCTACATTCGCGATCAGCACCCACTTTCAAACGATCCAACCAATAAGCGTTTGAAATAGATAGCAGTAGCAACCTAAAAACACCTAAGCATGTCTAGTTATAAGTTTATATCCGAAAGTAGATCAAATCTGAATTTATAACAAGTATAGAGAAAACATTACCGTATGCAACAGATAGATAATCTTCACTAGCTGCCATTATCGAGTTACGTTAAAAGTGTTGCTAGATACGTATGTAGATCGACATACCTAGCAACTACCTAATTAAGTACTTACGTACCTACTTAATCACTCATACGTCATTTAATTGCATTCCTACATAATTCCTATCATAAATATTTTTGAACATCACAGGTTTAAATCTTTGTTAAGTACAGCTTTATTATAACTTTAAATAGAACTAACGGAACTAATTATAATATAGGTAAAAATTATAAGCGTCGATAAATCAATTCGGCGGCGCGGCGCGGCGACGCCGCAGCGTCGTAGCAGCGTAATATTGAGTATTAGAAATTGAAATTGACTTCATCAAGAGGACTGTTCGCTAATTGTCATCAACGGGTTAAAAACCATAAGTGATCACCGAATAATAAAAAGCACATTTAACCTAAATATTAAACTGGAAGTCTTACTTGTCTGACGAAGTTTGACCTTTACTAGTAAATTAGCTAACGATCCACCACAGTAATAATTGTCGCCTGTAGACATGAACTGCAACATGGATAGAACTGGTATTATTCATCCATTGTAAGCCTCATGCATCTGCAGGGGGGAAGGGTATACATTTCCCCATTACTAACGACGAATAGATGAAAAGAGTGTGTTGTTAGCAATGGAGCAAATCCCATTGCTGGAAATATACTCAATCATGTCGACTTCACTCTGGTTATATCATAGTTAATGCTTATGGAATTCGTCGCTATGGACTAATTGACCTGCTTTCATCCTCAGCGTACTAGTGCAAATTCAGTTTATAGCGGATTACCCTATCTGAATTCCTGAGAAGTAACGAACTAAGAATCTCCGATAAATCTGATATTTTGAATATTATTGAGAAGTTTTAAATTTATGATGGATAGTTGTATACATTTAAATGACAAATTGACAACTAAAAATACTATATTGTCGATAATGTGACTTTATCATTATCGACAATATATGTATTTTGTATAACATTGAAATGGCTATTAAACAGGTTAAAATAGTAGTGCTTTTAGCACTAGAAGTAGGAATTACAAAATAAACGATTGAAAGTAGGTGAAAAACCGGTTTTTCAGAAGATCTATGATATTTTAATTCAAAATTCCCGTGTATGAGCGATAAAGTCGCGAGTCATTACGACGGCGCGCCGTGTTGTACTCGGCGGCAGCGTGTCAAGAAAATACGTGTGACGCTGGCACGGCATTCATTCATATCCAATTAGTTTATTATATTTATAAGCAAATTAAAATTTTAAATAAGTAGATACATCACGTTTCCAAAAAAATAATAAAAACGAACGCTCTTATTCATAAAAATGTCAAACCTCTTAGCTATTGAAAAGTTTCGTCCTTTTCTTTTGCTCTAATTTCTGCTTGGCAAACAGTAACAAAACACTTTAATAGATAAAATAGGTTTTTAGGACGTTTTAATTTTTATGAATAAGGGGGAAACAGCCAATGTTATACAGAACTATACTTAAAGATATGTCGCACATTGCACTTCTTGTATCCACGTAAATAGGAAGTAAAAGAGCAAATACATAGAACAAAAGGTTGGTATGTTATGTACTTGCACAATGCGAAATATCTATCTATATAAATAAGCAAGACAAATATGTCTATGTAGAAGTTTCTAAATAACGCGTACAGGCGAAGGGCCTCATTGTGTGTGTGCGAGCGAGTTGGGTCGATGGACGCAGAGCGCGCTCCGTGGCGACAACTCTAATGACCACATCATATTTTATTTAAATATTACCGTTTATACGATAAATTATTGTATACGTATACATTATTTAGAAATAACTCATATATTAATTTATTAAAATTTTTAAGAAGAACATAACGTAGAATCGCTCGCGCTCAATGATAAATAAATTATATCTGAACATTATACTGTCGATTATGAATACGTTGGATACAAATACCGACCTGATACAAAAATAGAGACGTCAAAAATAAAACGAAGCGAGGAAATAATGGCACGCTCCCAACGAGGCAACACAAAGCAGAGCAGACGAGTGGTATGGTATGGTAACTATGACGCGACGATAATTCCTACAACGTTGTTGACGAGCAATGATCAATCTAGGCTAAGTATTTCTATTTCGTAGCAACAACGCTCATTTTAAATAACTATATATACAGATTGCAGGTATTTATCTACCTACATTAATTTATTAAAAAGTTTTTACGAATGTAATTTTGCAAAGATCAAGCAGTTACTTGAATCTCAAAATAAGTAATAAAATCATAAAGAAAATCATCGTACTGGTAAGATTTTTTCACCAGTTTAGACTTTGGTCAATGTGTATTATAAACGTTTGCAAATCACGAAAGGCTGCCGCACTTAACAACAAGAAAAAGACGACAGGATCAATACAGGCTGCAAAATGTACACGTGATCGCGTCACTATATAACTCCCTCGCACCACCGACCGCACCCCCTAAGCACCCATTCCCCCCGTACTTCGATGTCGACACCAAAGGATTTTTTACGGTCAGTGTTGGTTTTGGAGATACCTCATCAAAATCACAAACTTATAATAGCAAAAAAAAAAACTGTTTTTTTTTTGGACTAAACTGATCAAACAACGTTAATAAAAACTTTAAAATACCTACCAATCACCTTTTATTCAATTCATTGTAGTGTTTAAGTCCGCAAGTTGACAAACGTAGTATAAACCAGTTCCCGTGGGCGAAAGGCGACGGACAGCCCATTGCCACCGCCGCCCCAGATAGGGTTGTCGATTACAAATATCTAAATAATACGTGTGAACAATTTAATAAAATAACATTCATTATACCAATTAAGCATGTGTACATACTACATATGACTGACTATTATTCTACGGACTAGTCGTTAAAAGTTAGTTTATTTCCAAATTTTTATTTTATTAGAATGGAACAATAAAGATACGCCAATGTTAGTTGTATTTTATATATTTGAAATTTATTACTATTAATAAATGAGTTACTAAAAATATTGATTGCGCAGAATTCTTTTATAGTTTAATAAATAAACGATAATATAATCTAAAACTGAACTGTACCTACGAAAAACCTAAGCCAAGATGAAAGAAATAAATTTCCTATTCTGATTGTAAATCGATAACATCGGATAGTGGCAGCGGCCACTACAGATCAAAGACAATGCTAAGCTTAGTATTCACGTACCATCCTAATGAAAGAATTTACGAAACAGATCTCAATAAAAATTTCTTGATTTCACTTGTAACCCTGATAGATTTAAAAAATGAACATTTTAATGTTTAATAATTATTTTGCATATCTTTCAAAATATCTTTAGTTTTCCATGGTGCGAATGCAACTTAATGAAGAATACCAAAATCATGCCAAATATAGGTTTAAATCGTTGTATCGGCCAAACAAAACAGATTTCTCTATCAAATTACCACTTGTAAATCACTATTGTGACAAACAAAAATTATTTTCTTGGAGGCAGCCAAATAAAGTTCTGCATACTGAGTAAAAATAAGTTGCTGTGTGTACTGTGTTAAAAATGTTTGGTTGATCTTAGAAAAAAGTAATGTAGGTACTGTTGTGGTATATTCAGGATCTGTAAATGGACAAGTTCACTATCAAATAAATGATTGGCAAAATTTAGTTACATCAATATTTTTTTATTACGAAGTTCGATTCACCCTTACACAGCTCTAAACACTTCAATCTTCTGTAGCTTCTGAAAGATTCGTTACTCACCGTGCTAGTCAGATCTAGCTCCAGCTGGTTTCCTTTTTTCGAAATTTGGATAAGTAACGTTTTCATGAGAAATTTTTAATACTGAAGACGCGATGAAAACAGCTTTAGAATTCAG